CAAATCTAGCCAAATTCTATTTTGGAATGAAACCAAGCATATAAAACAGTGGAAACAATTATTATTCCAAAGAAGCTTGCAGAGTATCACCAATTGGAGAAAACAAACGAGATGCAGTCCCATCGAAACGCTCTAACGAAGCAGAATTCCGAATCGTAGATCTGCATAAAATTTGAATATGCGATTCCGGGCGGACAATGTTAATCTGTTTCGATATTCGGTTACTCCGTTTCTCTCGTTATCTATGCTGGCATAATTCACTTGTCAAATCGTCGAATTCCTTTTATATCCAACGATTCTTTACCCGATATCGGGCCTCGTTCCATTTTACTCTTGTTACTCTTAACAATTCTTCCTTTTAATAATTTACATTCTGGATAGATTCCACGTTTCGGATAGGTGTAATCAAATTTTCGTTTCAGACGAAGTCCCAAGTGTTCATTCCGATTTAGTTACTTAGAATTTGTGCAACTTTACAGATATTTCATTAAGGAAGGGAATGACGTTGTAGCAAAGGAGAGATACGCTTGCAAGCTTGTGCAAGGAGATAGGGTTGAAGATTAAATTAATTAGCTTTCGATGGAACAAGAAAAGAAGTTGTGTCTGGTAAAGCAACCTTCTTAGAAAAGAGCTCGCTAACTGACACCGAAGGCCACGATAAGGAACTTTTCAGTATCGTTTAATTAAACCACATTTTCTTTTTACTCGATAACTTCACCTTATGAAAACTGGTGTTAAAATATACTCTGACGACTGCCACATTCAACTCCTAATCGGTGCCATGGATCAAGTATCCCATTATAGAACAAAATGTAATAATATACATCCTTCGCAAACGAATTAGATTAGAAGATAATCAAATACGTTGTCAGTCAGTTATAGAACATTTTGCATTTTTATCAATGTAATCATTTGCATGAATACTTGCGGCTTATCTGTAATACAATTCACGGAGAAACTAACTGACAAATATTTTTACGAGATTTAGAATACGATTTTTATTCTATTGTACAACGATTCAAACTTAGAAACTGTCTCATAACTTAATTACATCATGTAACTATAATTATGTGAAGAGATCCAAGGTGCCGGAGACTAGGGATTGATCGGACGACGTAGCCAGCTACGTAGTCGCTTTTAGCGATGAAAACGATGGAACTAACAGATTTGTGACAATGAACAGGATACAGGTTACCGGCCATGCCGTGGAGCTGGCTGGGGGCGGCGACGCCATCGGCAGCTGCAGCCGCGGCAGTGGCCGCGGCCGCGGTCACACCATCCCCTGCGGCCGCACCGCTCGTCCTTGCACCCAGGGCGGCGGCGAGACGAAGGTACAGAATGAGAGCGAAAGAGTGCGAAAGAGATATATACAGAGACAATAATAATAATAATCCATCCACACCAATCCGGAACTGACGCCGCAATCGGCGAAGCACGTCCGACCCACCCCGTTTGGTTCTTTGATCCTTGTAACCCCGTTTCACGTGTCACGCCTCGGATTCTCGAACGGGAAACCGTGTCTCTTCCTGACAACGTGACAGACACGCTACTGTTCAGAAGTTACTATTTGGTGTAGTAACTGTCCAAGAAATGATGGATTAAAACGAAATCGAAAGCATTGTATCTGAGATTTATAGAAATTGTAAATATAAAAGAAGGATGATATATAGATAGATAGATAGATTGATAGAGCTTGCTTTGTATTAAATATTTTACTGGAATATTTATACATTGATTCTTACATTTCACATTTGATTCATGTATTAAATTCTAATTACATAAAAGATATCGAAGGAGATTCCAAGTACATAATTGGAAGAGAGACACGTTTCCCTGGAGGAAACCGCGAAGACATTGATAACCGAGAGAAATTGCCTCATCCTTCAAAGGATCTAAAACGGAACCAATTTCTTAGGAATCGAGCATAGTCGTTAATACTCGGCTACTTCATTCAACGATTTTCCTTTAACCTCGTGTCAGCCGCATACGAGCTGAGATTAGTCAGCGTTTCCGCCTCATAGGTCGACTTAATTAGTAACGATCGCCTAATAGCTGGATAATCCGTGGAGCAGCAGCGTGTCAAACTAGACGCGATTAGAACCAATTAATTAAAAGGAATTACCTTTCAATCGCGAGCTCACATCGTACGTCGTCTATTCTCATATAATTCGGAAATGACAGTACATGGATTAAATTAATCTGATTTAATACTTCTGTTAAAAGAATGATGAGGCAATCTCTTAATTATATTTCCCAAGCAATTTTCTTATTATTCAAGTAACTTTAGAAAATTCTATTGATTAGTAGTTAATTAATTAAGGATCTACTTCACCCTTTACCTATCCATGTCTAACCCACTAGTCATTGACGCATACGACCAGCCAATAACAATCGTGTTTCCCATGAAAGGGAAACACGAGTTATGTACAGCATCGAAATGTCGAGAATGCAGGAATAACTCTTGTCGAAATCGGGGAGAGTATTTTTTCTTCATTTTATCATTCCCTCTTCCCTGTTCTCTCTGGGATACGCATCACCGATGTTCCTTCTTACGTAATTAGCGAACCCAGTACGCCATTTAGGGCGCCATTTACTTACATACGTGACGATTATTGATCTGTGGTTAGAACTTCCATTATTTTCTTCCTTACATTTTGCAATGCATCCAGATTTGAACTCAGAATTTCGAGATACAAGAAATATTGTGTTTCTATTTTAATTTATCATGTTTTACAATATTTTTAATAATTTTCGCTTGCGGGTTCAATATCCTGTCACCGAAATTCATTAATTCTAAATACCGGACAGCGTCCGGCCGTTGATTAATTAATTATCGTTAATTGGAGGCCGGAAACGAAGCGAAATTCTAATCTAATCAAATTGCGAATCAATCCGCCAATGAATTTCGACTTGGGCGTCGAAATTGGCACGCGAAACAGTAACTACAGATCTTGACTCGTCCCGTTCGAACTCTTGTTGTTGTTTAACCATCGCATATAAAACCTCGCACACCGACGTTTTTTGGAATGCGCCTGCTGTAAATGCATATATTCACACGCTCTGTATAGTCTTGTTTTTCTTGACGCACACCCATCAGTTTTGTACAGACATAGTCTTCTCTTGTATGACGTACGAATAACAATTCAGTCGAAAATCTTAATCTCGGTTTTTTTGTATCCTATGCTAACCACACGTGCGACACTTTGCACGGTAGTTGACACTATTGTTTGACCCCGTGGTTATTGCTGTTGTTGATGATTGTTGTTTAACTGTTGCTCGTACACCACGGTCTTTTCTAGCTTGTAATTACCACTGAGCAAGTATTCTCTTAAACGTGCAATATATCGCGTGGATCTCTACTTCTTGGAGAAATTGGGGAGCGTTCATTCAAAAATATTCAACAGAATAAACTATAAAATTATTGAGTTATATATTCATGTAAAAACAGTGTTTGAAAAGAGGAAAAACAGTATTTTATTTTCTCGATACAACTAATTGAACTTCAAGTAACCATCAGCACTTTGCTTTGCCTTTGAACAAGAGAGATAAGAATTGTGCTGTGAAAAAAGAAAGAGAAGAGAGTTATAAAGACAAAAGGCGCGAGCGCTCCTTGATCTCTTCGAGGGCGGAAGTTCATCGCGGGTCACGCAGAGAGCGTGAAGGCACGTGTTTATAGTAGAGACACACGCGCACACGGTGACGTCGTGGACAAAAGGTAGGCAGAAACATCAGTTTTTATTGTTCCGTCGTCCGGACCAAAGAAGCCGAGAGACAAAGAGAAGGTCCGCGCGATCAATCGAGGCCGGATACGTCGCCGATCCAGCCATTTCCGTTTGCCGAAAGAAACATCTTTGGTTCGAGGTTCCATCTGTAGAACGAGCCGATTTCTTCGTCTAATTGTCGCTCGAGATCTCTCCTCCCACGTGATCGTTAAAGGCTGAAAGCTCGTTTACTTCGCCAAGTCTTGCTTTTGATTTTCTCTCCTCGAAATCAGGTTTTACGGGATTCTAAATCGTTCTCCAATCGCTTGTGCTCTTTCCATTTTATCAAAAATCCATTGAACACAATCTCGAACGCCTTGAGAAGGCATTAGGACTATTTTTTAATATACTTCAACTCTTGCGTTTATTAAAATGTTTTCTCGATTTTTGGTCAGCCGTACGGTTTTCCTCTGTACATCGATTTCTTCTTCGATCGCCACTCGATTAAAAAGTAAGTCATCACGCAGATCAGAGAACATGGTACAATAATATAAACTAACATCAGTATGATCACTACACATACTGGTCTCTTACAGAATCTTCGAATTCTGTCCATGTAGCTCAGTTCTGTCCTTCGACTGCTCTCCTGCGGTAAAGTGAATTTGACCCCGCTCCGAGTCGACGTTGGAGAGCCAGTTCTTACACTTGCCTTCAATGGTTTTTTGATTTCCTTAGGTTTCTCGTTAGACGTGGTAGGATCGTCTGGGCTTGGATTGTTCTTACGTTGATTACTCCATTCAGCATTTTGCTTACTGCGCTGATAACGCAACCAGTTCTGCGTAACAACTTTATGTTTGCCCCATCGTTCATTATCAAAGAATGAACCTTCTTTCTTAGTCTTCATGTTCGAATCTGTCTTTGAACAATGTGGCTTTTGAGCCTCCATGTTCTTGTGCATAAATATAGAAATTCAGTATAATTGTTTAATATATATCATTGATATTTCTTGAGAATGGATTGTTATATAAGGTTTCGTGGTTAAAACTGGTGTTTTCCCCCAATGGCGTCGTTCCCAACGTTTTCAGAGCTGAACGAGCCCTTCGGTTCTCTCTTGAAATATCCCCTGACTCCGTTCAACTCCCTGAAAGTTGTCTCGCAATCAGTGTAAAGAGAACCTCGCCTCGTCGTCGCTCTTATTTGTAATGAAACAGCGAAACGGTCATGGCCGGCAGTAAACTCACCAAAAGCGGTACGAGAAGGTAGGAGAACGAGCATTGGCATGCGTATGTGTTGTTACAGCCGCGGCGCTTAGAGGAGTCGCTATCCAACGCGGGAGAGTTGGCGCCGCGAGGGCGGCGTTCCCGACGAGTGCAGCTGCGTTGGCCCTCGCGAGGAACCCGGGACAGCTCGCGGCTGCAGCCGCAGCCACGGCCTTGCATCCCTTCGCACCTACGTAAGTAATACAACCATTCATATGCCAGACGCCTGAGTAAGTAGTAGAGTCGCTCATTTATACGACACTGGAGTTCCTGTAGTGCACATATCAATGATCGATGAGGTAGTCGAGAATCTCAATTTCTTGTACATATTTTGTTCTGCTATTTATTGCTTACTGCTTGAGGCAAATCGTTTTTAATGATAATTGAAATTCTCAACTGCAGTTTGACTGGCTTTATTTGAATCACTAACCGTGGTGAACACTGCTTGCTCCGGTTATCGTGTCTTCTGGTATATTTTTAATATTTTCGAGTTGCAGCGTGTTACTTGATTAACTGATCATTCAATCTCGGCGAAATCAAAACGATTTTTATTTTCATTAACAGTGGACAATTGCCTGTACGATTGAGTTAATGTGTTCAGTCTAGAATACATATAGATTTCTGTTTAATAATTCAAAGTAAAAAAATCTTCGAAACATATACAGACTCTTTATTTCAGTTTTTTCTTACACGGGTTCGAATACTTTCGTGAGCCACTATGTAAGTTCAATGATTCATGAATAGTTCTGTTGCAAGGTCAAAATTTGTAGTGTTTAGTAGAAGTTTTGATTGACGCAAGGAAGTTTAGAATTCTAACACTTGCGTGTGACAAAGTTACAGAGATTTGCGGTTCTCGAAACGGTGAAAGTTTTCAGTACTTGCTTGACTAAACACACCTGATTGTTTCAGACATAGTGATTTAACTATAACACTGTACAACACAAAATTTGTTTGCAATATCCATTACGTGATTCTTGTAGAGAAAATGAATCCAGAATCAGAAATGCTCTATCACGTACTGTTTCTTTAATATAGCGGTTTCTGTAAAAATGTATGATTTTTGGGAAAGTGAAAACTAAGACTCAAAGCGCGAAAAAGTTCGTTTTTTAATCAACAGATAGAGGAGACTTTACATCAATACATCCATGTAAACCACTTTTTGTTTTCATACTTTTCAATCATAAATCTTATAATAACGACAGAACATGATGAAATATAGCAGATTGATTTTGCAACAGATCTGTTCCATTGAATTTTCC